CATATCATCTCAACTATCAGTCTTATTACGAGCATAATTAGCTATTACATCACTAATAATGGGTCCATTACCAATCTTGAGCGTGAAAATGATACAATATACACAAAGCACAATATACACAATATACACTGTAGTGTACTCTTGGCTAACGTAATTGGGTAAATAAATAGTAATGCTATTAGTGAAATAATGGATATTAGTAATACAAGAAATGAGTAATTACCGCAATACCAATACCATTCATTTGACTAAGTACCAGTTACGCTCATCACGATAACGAATGGTAATAACATCAAGTAAATAATTCGTCACGAAAGCGAAAAGTAAATAAACAACAGCGATCAACCTTCATAAAAATTATCAGGTAATAAATGTCACAGAACAAGGAGTGTTTTTCTAAGGAGTAATTTCAGAGAGTTATGTAATCAGTGAAGCAGCTGTCTGGTGACTGTTCCTGCAGCTGTAACGACAGAACACACACCAACACCCCAGAAAATGGTTATCCTCTGAAGAATGTATTTTATAGTTGCTTTGATTCTTTAACTTTTTTTGTTACTTAAGACTATCATGGTGTCATTATCCTCAGTATTCATCATTATCAATATTTTCATTCTCATCATCATTATTATTACTGTCATAGTCATAATAAGTATGATAATATCAATAATGATAATGATAACAATGATAATAATAAGAGTAATAATAATAAAAATTATAATGATAATGATAATAATGATAATAATAATGATAATGATAATGATAATAATATTAATGATAATAATAATAACAGTATCAATAATAACACTATCAATAATAACAAAAATGATACCAACATTGCTGATAATAACAAAAATGATAATAAGAAATATTAAAATTAATGTCATTACTGCTCCTGCCCCCCTCATCATTCTTATCCTTTTTATCGTCATCACCATCACCATCACCATTCTTCTGACGATCGCTTTGGAAAACAATCTCGTAACAGATGCTTCGTTGAATGACATCACAGTACCTATTGAGATGTTACTCATTTATCAGAATCCCAATTATGCAGGCCAATTAGCCTTTTATTGATGTCATATAGATATATCATAGCAAGGATATATATGTGTTGGCAGCTGTTGAATGCTGCCGAAGAGATGTTTGCTATTGAAAATAACGATTGTTATAGGTTGTAAATTAGTTATTTTTAGTAAATAGATAGATAGATAGATAGATATACTGATATTTGATATATACATATATATATATATATATTTATATATATATATATATATATATATATATATATATAGAGAGAGAGAGAGAGAGAGAGAGAGAGAGAGAGAGAATCGAGAGAGAGAGAGAGAGGAATCGAGAGAGAGAAAGAGAGAGAGAGAGAAGAGAGAGGGAGAGGAGAGGGGAAGAGAGAGAGAGAGAGAGAGAGAGAGAGAGAGAGAGAGAGAGAGGGAGAAGGGAGAGGGAGAGGAGAGGGAGAGGGAGAGGGAAGAGGGAGAGGGAGAGAGAGAGAGAGAGAGAGAGAGAGAAAGGGGGGGGGTTAGAGAGAGAGATAGAGATAAAAAGAAAGAGAGATAGATAGATAGATAGATAGATAGATAGAGAGAGAGAGAGAGAGAGAGAGAGAGAACAAGAGATATTTTATTCAAGCACACATAATCTGTAGAAAATCGAAATTTGCTTAACACCCACAAAGACTTCGAAGGAGAAGCTAAAGGCACCAGGACCCCATATTCAAAATGCTACGTTCACATGCTGCACCCTCCTCCTCCAGCACGAAGAAAGATGGGACTGAATATACTAAAAGAGAGATAAAAAAGTAAAGGAAACTAAGCCAATAACCAGTTAAAAGAAGTAGTTGAAGAAGAAAAAACAACTTTTCGGCTTTACTAATGATCTGTATCAGCGCTACCGCCCAAAGCAGACAAAGTTAGAGAGAAAGCGAATCACACCCTTACCGTCTCCAAACTCAGCTTCAAAGCAAAGAGACTAAATCTCCCTAAGTTATGGAAGTGCTGATGCAAAGGATCTGTACAAAGAAAAGACAAGAAGAAGAAACACAACTGAATATTGTAACCTATACCGTAAGTAGATACATAGAAATGGTATAGAATGATAATAAAAAAGAGAAGTAAATAGGATCTAAGAAAAAAAAAACTATCCCGTTTTGAGTAAAGAATAAGAAAGAAAAAGTGATGTAAACAGTATCAAAGAATCAAGAAAAGAAAGGGGTAACCAAAAAAAATATAAGGTGAAATAACCAGGTAAGAGAACAGAGAATAAAACATAGAAGACAAAGTGAAATAACCAACACATGATAACAACAACAACAACAACAACGTCATCCAACTCTCACCAAAGAAAAAAAAAACGAAAACGTGAAACAACTGAATTAAGACAACAAACAAGAAGAAAAAGAAATTATATCCAACTCAGAAACCCTTTGTGTTTAACGACCACTACGAATGCACTGAAATACAATATGATTTACTGCATTCAACAC